TCGTCTCAAAAAAAAAAAAAAAAAAAAAAAAAAAGACGGATGATAGATACACAGATGATAGGTAGATAATAGACATGATGGAGAGATGACACATAGATGATAGACACTAGATAGATGATAGATGGATGGCAGATAATAGATCTATCATGATAGATGATAGGAGAATAGACAGATGATGGATTGAAAGATGACAGATGACAGATGATAGACAAATAGATAATAGAGAGATGATAGATGATGGATAGATGATAGCAATAGACATAAAAAAAAAAAAAAAAAAGATAGATAGTAGGTAGATAGGGATGGGTGATAGAAGATAGATAGTTGATAGGTACAGAGACATCTGTAGATATGTAGATCGATCACTGTTTTTCTGTTTCTCTCATTATCTTTTTTTTTTTTTGAGATAGAGTCTGTCATCCAGGCTGGAATGTTGTGGCGTGATCTTGGCTTACTGCAACCTCCGCCTCCCGGGTTCAAAAGAGCTCAGCCTCTCAAGTAGCTGGGATTACAGGCATGTGCTACCATGCCCAGCTAATTTTGTATTTTCAGTAAAGACAGCGTTTCACCATGTTGGCCAGGCTGGTCTCGAACTCCTGACCTCAGGCAATCCTCCCGCCTCCCAAAGCACTGGGATTACAGGTGTGAGCCACCACGGGGCCTTCATCATCTTTATGCATATCTCTTGGCCTCTCTTAGTCTCCATCCCTGTATCGCTTGTCTCTCTCCATTTCTGTCTCTGTGTTTGTCTCATTATCTGTCTCTGTGTTGACTATCTCTGCCACTGTCCTCCTTCTCCCTCCCTTCCTCCCTTCCCCACCCCCCGGCCTCTCCCTGTCTGCTTCTCTCCATCTGCCTTCATTTCCAGGGCCTAGCGAAGGCAAGTCCCAGAGGAGATCGGAAAGGAGGGATCCTACTCTGTCCTCAGCGCTGTCCCCTCTCACTTTGCCCTCCAGACACCAGCAGCTGCCTTCACCATGGACAGCATAAGCACAGCCATGTTACTCCTGCCCCTGGCTCTCATCTGTCTGCTCCTGACCCTCAGCTCAAGAGACAAGGGGAAGCTGCCTCCAGGACCCAGACCCCTCCCACTCCTGGGAAACCTGCTGCTGCTTTGCTCCCGAGACATGCTGACTTCTCTCACTGAGGTGCCTCACCTTGGCCCGGGTGAGGGGGGAAGGATAAGGAGGAGGGGTCCCTTGGCCACAGGCCCCCCTGTGACCTCTGTCTTCCTACCCCCAGCTGAGCAAGGAGTATGGCTCCATGTACACCGTGTACCTGGGGTCCAGGCGGGTGGTGGTCCTCAGCGGGCTCCAAGCCGTGAAGGAAGCGCTGGCGGACCAGGGAGAGGAGTTTAGTGGCCGCAGTGACCATCCTGTCTTTTTCTTCTTTACCAAGGGCAACGGTAAGCCTCCCCCTCGTCCCCTCTGCTCTCAGCCTTTTCCATGTTGAGGGAGGGGGTGAGGGTGAGACTGTCCTCTCAATCTTGTTGACACCCAGGGCTGCTGATGTCACCGATGACACCAGATGCAAGGCAGCGAGGCAGAGCTGGTCCACGGCGAAGTCTCCCGCCTTCCCCACCTCAGATCCCACCACTGTCTTGAATTGGACTCTTGTACCAATGCTCATCTCCGTCCAACTCCAGCCCCATTTCATCCCAATCCCTAGCTCTCCTGCAAACACATCATCAACCTTCCAACTCAGTCAGGTGGTCCCAGAGCCCGCTGCCCACCTCAACCAATCCCAGTCGCCAGCACCCTTGCCCCATGTCCACCTCTTCAAGCCGGCTGCATCCCTGCCACAACACAGCCTGCACAGGGCCCCCATCCCAATCCCCCCTTTTTTTTT